TTTTTTTAAATTAAACAATATTTACTTGCTTTTGTTTATTAGACATTAAATTACATCACTTAGCAGCCTCCATAATTTACCTTGACTTTTCAGTCTGTTAGCTTGATTTATATGTATGAGTATTCTTAAATTTAAAAATCCTGAAAAACTAACATTTTTATTTTAGTTTTTAAATACTTATTGCAAAGTAATACCCTTACATTTGCCTTGATAAAGTCCATCAGAGGACAAAATGCTTCAACTAAGATAAGTTTTCTTTTTTGTCTTAATTCATATATATATTTTTCCCTTTTTTGTTACAAAATATTTAATATTTTTTTCTCACCAAAGAATACTACAAGTTATATACAGTCGTCTGTTATCTTAGAAACATGTTCTTAAATCTCCAGTACATTCCTGAAACTGAATAGTACCAAACGCAATATATACGGCTTTTCTTTTTCTTTTTTAGACATACATTACCTGTCAAAGCATAATTTACAAATTATTGAATTAAATTAGTGTTGTAAGAGATCACAAATAAGTAATAAGATGGAACAACGATATCACCATGCATTTTTTTTTCTTTACTTTCATCTTTCCACTTAAAGGAAGCAATTCGCAACTTTTCTTATGCGTATCAGAGTTGCTAGCATTACTATTTTTGCTTTTTTTTTTTTTAGACCATTTTTAAGTATAACTTAAATTGTTTATTTATGGGTTACCGAAACTAAAGAGGAGACAACTGCGTTTCCAAAATTGAAGGTAGACAACTGTATTAATAAAATTAAAAGACGATGCTCATGTTCTAAAAACACAATGAATATATCTACACAAATGGGTTTGTTAATTATAGAAAATCAAAGCCAGTATAGTTATTGGTATAACCATATTTTCATTTGCGTCAGTAATCCAAATTGAATTTATCCTGAGAGTTTTCAAATATAATACAGCCATTATTAGTTTGGATTCCTCAGATTATTATCTTTATTTTTTTATTTTTTTTCATTATGATATTTTGGACACTATTCTCTTCACCTCTACTCAGACGTATATTGCATCTGATGTATTACTAGGTAGTAATATAATGTAATAAGTAATGGCTGTTTGATTCTTTCTGAATTATCCCTGTTCCAGTTTCTTGCTCAAGCACATTTGAGTTCCTTCAACACCCGCAGAGCCAACATTGTTTTATGCTGTAACTTTTGAGCAGATCTTAGTTACATTTTCTGAGAGACAACATGCACCAATCTGTCATGAACAGTAATTGAACAAGGCCAATAGATTCAAACCCTTTTGACTTTGTACCTGCACAATCATTGATGGTTCCCAAACAGCTTTGGCTACTCAGTTTCTCTCACAAGGCTTGGGTCAACCTGTGTTATGTTTTGAAGCACTTCCCAAATAGTACTGCATGCTGGGATCGTTCCCTGAAGCAGATATTGTCAAAAAACCACCTTCTTGACAAATCAATAGTGAGATTTGAACCTGGTTTTCATGTTTAGAATGCTAATGTTCTAACCATGTGTCCATTGCAGTAATCAGCATTTAAAGACAATTCAAAGAAGGCTCAAGAATATATCGGTTGAAAAGTTTATAAAAATAGCAAAGATGACTATAATCATCTGAATGTGAAATAAATTGTTTTCTCAGCACTTTAGACAAAAGCCATTATTTGTTTTACTTAGCTTTTGAGCATTAATAATTTTATTTTTGTGGAAGCTTTTTTATTGTGTAAGCAGTTCATCAAATTGTGATGTTAAGAAAGCCATTTCTCTAAAAAAGGCATAATCTCTGATACAAATAGTTTATAGTATATCAAAAATGCATTTTTATTATTTATTTATACATATATCATGAGCAGTCTCAGTTTGAAATGTTTTTGTTTAGATACACTTTTCAAAAGTGTGATTTTAAAAAAAAAAAAATTTAGAATCAAATTTGTTTGGAACAGTTTCTTCATCTTATTTGTTTTTCTTTACACAATATTTTCATTGATACATTTTCCAGCCTTCCTCAAGTAACTGTCACATCAATTTTGTCCAAAATTCTTTGAAGGCTACCAAATATGGCAAATGTGTAAAGAAGGTTAGGAATGTTACAGAAAGAGCAAAGATAAAGAAACTAATCTGAACAAATCAATGTATAAGAGTAAAAAAGCTTCATAAAATTTGGTTTTGTTATTTAAAAGATAAAAGAGCCAACATATTTCTGGTTTATTTATTTTTTACTTTACTAATATTCATAAAGCATGCTTATAATTCTTTTTTTTGCTTTGTCTTTTGTCTTTTTTTTTGCGCTTGTACAATGTAAAATGAACTTTCATCTATATTTGCTTTTGTAATAATTTGACACAAATTTTCATGTTTAAATTCTTTAAAATTGTATAGCATTTTGCTAAACTGTTGTATTTAACAGCATTTGTTTAACCATTTAAATTAAACAAGCCTGTTTTTCATGAGCTGACTTTTTCTTTTTGTTGCTATACTGTTATAATTAAACTAAAATATTTGATTGTTTTCTGTTTTAAAGATGTCAGTAACTTTGTTTCAAAATGAAAATAATATGTATAACTATCTGCTTTGTGACATTTAAACTTTCTTTGGTAACAGCTTTAAAATTTAACTAGAAAATTTTTATTCTATTTTTTAAAAAATTCATTTTACTTCAGAAAAATGCATTTCAATTTGAAGAAAAAAGTTAAAAGTTTGAATGCTTCTGTGAATAGTTGTGTTTCTGTTTTGTTATCTTTTCTTTCTTTTTCTTCAGTTTTTTTTAATCGCTTCTTTCTTTGTCTCTTTTTGTCATAAACATCCTTTATATACTGTAAATTGAGGCATACTAGTCAAAATTTAACCTTTTAGTGTCCAGACATGGCTGCACGTGTTAGTTTTCAATCAAATTTCAATATGGCACTACTTATGGGTTACTTTTATAACATAATAATTTAGTTTATAATTATTTATTTAAAAATATGATTCTATGTAATCATATTTTTAAATAAATAATTATATTTAGACTCTAATTTTGTATCGAGCACTGTTTTTTAAAAATAATAACAAAAATACTAAAGAACTTTGGATTATTTACCTAACGAGTTCTTTCCTATTTTCTATATATTTTCACGCACACACACACATATATATATATATATATATATATATATATATATATATATATTTTAGCCAAAAGATCTGACAAAGTGGAAAATGTTTTCATGTGACGCATTTTGTCTTTTAGGACTTCATCAAGCTGTCATATTGATATAAACATGCACATAAAGGAGAGGGGACACTGAGAATTTTAAATTAAAATTTTTTTCTTTTTACTAAATATGTTTTGGGTATATAGTCTAGCCGATTTCATTTAGTTTCCATTTTTCTTGTTGTTCCTGTTTCCATCACTTTTGTTATTAAATATTCCCACATTGTGATAACAGAAGATCTGCCAAAAATAATGAAATGTAAGAACCTGGACATAAATTTACTGTGGATGATCTTGTGGTTAAATAACTTTCTATACATTATTGTCTTAGTAAATTGCTTTCTCTTTTAATTAAAGTAGCATTTTTTAAATCAAAATTATGGTCAAACTCATTATAGTGAGGAACTAATATTTTTAGTGTGTTTTGTAAAAGATCCCTTTGCGTTTAAGGAATTTAAATAAAAAATTATATGAAGCTTCTACTTTGTATTTTTTGTGGCAGTTATTACAAGTAATAGAGTAAATTCCTTTTTTGTTTATGATTTTTAGCTTATTAATTTATTTTGCATTAATTAAGACTCTTATTGTTTTAGATGTTAAAAATGTTATGTTTAACTGCAATAAATTATTTTTAATTGTAGTTGTGATAGTTGGTCAGTAGAATTTTCCCTAAAATTGTTTTTGATCTATATTGGTTTTTATATACACACACACACACACATATATATATATATATATATATATATTACTGATAAAATAATAAAAATTAATGCTCATCAGATATAAAAAGAAAATGTTTTCAAATATGTTCCACTAGTGGGACAATAGTCACTAAAAGGTTAAACTTTGTAGTTTGGTATACAAAATGTGGTCTTTATGTCACAGTATTTACATTCAGACTAATATCCTCATCTTTATCACGAGGTTGTTATCAGTACATCTTAACCCTTTATTAAATCTATGGAGGTAGATTGTTCTCACTCTGCTGACCATGTCTAAGGATATCTTGTCTTGGTTAATGGTCCTTTTAATACTACTCAGATATAATTAGTCCTGTTTACACTGAGTCTGGACTACCCAACCCAGGGATTGAACCCATTCAGAGTCTGTGGAAACAATCATCAAGAAGTACTAAAATGAGAATAATTTACTCCTGTAGATTAAATAAAGGGTTCAGTTCAGAATTCTCTGAAGGTTACCTGAAGAAGGCCAGAGAATACAACAGCCGAAATGTTGTGATAAAAACAACAATGATGGGAACATTAATTTGAATATAAGTTTTATCACGGTGTACTAAACAAAGGGAACAGCTTGCTTAAAACGTAAAAGCAATAACATTGTGAGAGAACATTTATTTAATCATTATAGATCATTGTTCAATAAATTAACATTAATTTTATTATGGTATGTGGTGTATATTGAGTGTTAAGCAATCTGTTGCTAGTGTTTGTCACTGTGCTAAGAAGGGGAGTCAATTTATACAACCTCTGTGAACTAAAAATCTTATAAAATCCACATCAACTTGTATACTACAGGTATGTTTTTCTTTTCTCTGACCTGATCATATTCCTGCTCTGTTTTAGTGAATGTGAAATTCACATACAAATATCTTTTCTTTCTTGCTTTTCTTTCTGTTCATTTGATTGCAATTTAAATTACTGTCGGCCTACTTCTATGAAGGGGGAAAAAATTCTGCTTATGTAGACGTGAATGATTATATAACAAAACACCACACATGCTTACAATTTAGTTGCATACATATTTTTTTTTAATTTATTTTGCTTGCATTGCTAAACTTTATTTTATACAAACACCAGAAAGGAGATTTGTTTGGTGAAGACATTTATGCCAGAGGGTCATTTCGCTATGGCCGAGGAAGCATGCCATCATATCGTGAACCATTGGTCAATTCAGAAGTGGCTATGCCAGTGGAGTCAGTTGTGTACCAGGGAGAATTAACTGGTAGTATAGCCACTGACACTGGGAGCGATTACAAATTTCCACCAGATGATTCCATACCAATTTCAACGAAGGTATCCATTTATTGATGAGTTTTTTTCTTTCTTTTTTTTTTTGTTTTGTTTCTATTTTTTTTTTATGTTAGTTTTGCTAATATTAGTGTTTTGCTATTACTATTTTTTTTTTTTAATATAGCCATTAGAAAATTTACAATTTAAAATTGAAATGTTTGATTAACATACTAACAGCTTTTGACGTTCACAGATGTTGACTTAGACATTCATGATCGCTATCTGTTTTTATCATCTTTTTTCTCCAGGAATTCACTTGCCCTTTCTTTCTTTTAATATTTTTTACCTTTTTCTTTCTTATTATCTATCTTTAAAGCTATAACTAAATCCACATGCTTATATTGCATGAAATCAAATTTGAAAGTAAGCATGCAGCAATTTTGAAAAGTTATGCATTTTGCATCATATTAACTTCTAAATTATTCAGCCTTTAGTTTTTTCTCTTATCTCCTATCTTAGGTATAACTATATATATATATATATATATATATATATATTGGTGTATATGAAAAGAGTTTTGTCTTATTTTATCTTATTTTATTTTATTTTTTTTTTTTTTTTTTTTGAGCATTATGCAAAACACTTTACCTAACAAGCTGATGTAAATGGATGACAGAAGAGTGGGGGATGGTGAAAAGATAGATCTTAATAAGAGCTACAAAGAAGTTGTGGAGAGCCATGATCTGCCATGTTCTGAAAAGAATATATTTCTGAGAATTCAAGTGCTGTTGATTGGGTTTAAAAGCATTATAATCAAAAACTTTTCTTCAAAGAAATGTTGCCGCATTTAAAATAAATGACCTTTGGGGAAGTATGGTTAGATTTTGTTTTTTTTATTTCTTCCCATTTACCAAATTTGTGAACATCCTCAGTAGCTTTAGTGTAAATATAAGAGTGAACATGGAAGTCAGTCTGTTTCATGTTTGACTGCAATCTTCAGGCCATATATTTCATATACACATCTTAAAAAAAAACAAAAAACTATGAATTCACTACATTTTACTTATATATATAAACCCTGCTTATTTTAAATATAAAACTTAAATCTCGCTTATCTTAAATACAAAATTTTTGTTTTTTAAATAGATTTTTTTGTTTTTTTAAATAAATTTTTTTTTTTAAATAGATTTTTTTTAGGGTTTTTCGGTCTGTTTATTTTAAAAAAGAAAAAACAGTAATCACCGTTTTTGTTTAATATAAATCCAATCTATTTTAAATATAAGTTAAATTGTTTTTTTTTATAGTTTTAGGTCTGTCTGTTTTAATATATATTTAAACATAAAAAAAAAAAATACCATTAATCTCCATGTTTATTTTAAATATAAATCCTGTCTATCTTAAGTACAATATATATATATATATATATATATAAAAACCTGTAATCCCCATATAATATATGGACTGCATCAGTATTGCATTAACCTGATACCTTTTATTAAAATTTAAATTATGTAATGGTCAGTTTAGTTTCTACTCAGCACCTGAAGAATGTGTTGAGCATGAAACTCATTTTACTGGTAAAGAATAATATATATATATATATATATATATATATATATATAACTCTATCTCTGATATTGAGCACTTTCTAATAAGTACCACGCATATAATATATAAATAATTATACATATATATATTTATATACACTTTTCATATATATATATATATATATATATATATATATATATATATATATATATATATATATGAGTAAGATGTAGTGGATTTATAATTTTAGAAGTGTATATAAAATAAGTTTGGGAATAAAGGTTTTTAAAAAGAAAATACTTTTGATGCATTCTAATAAATATCCAATTGCATTTGAGATTTTTAATTTTATTTAGAAGTGTAAAATAAAAACAAATTTAATTTATTTTTCCCTTTTAATTAAAAGATGGTGACTGATTTCATTATTTTCTAGATGAACTATCATCATTAAAAATGCACTTTTAAGATACAAATTGCAAAGAGGTGTTACAATGGATATTTCTGAAGAAGCTCCATCAGAGACCTAACGATTTGGTAGTGGGTGAACTCTGAGTAGGGGGCACGGTGAAGTAATGGATAGCGGCTTGGATTGAGGAATCAGAGAGCTGAGTTTAAATTCCAGTCAGATCCATTATGTTCACTTACGTGCTAATACTCTTAGGAAAGGTATGAATCCTCTTCTTCTCCCTCCAGTTATGGGTAAATAGCAGGACAGACTGGGTTGGATGGCAACTGGCCGAGGAGAAGGTAACTGAATTCAAAACTGGCCTAGAGAGGATTGGGCTCTGTCAGGCTATCTTGCCCAAGAAACACCACTTCTACTGCAGTTGTATGTGATGTGCCTACAATCCAGATGGGTCATAGGATTTGTGATTGCATGCAAACCTTAAGTACCAAATAATTAAAACACCTGCAGAGTAATAGTTAAGAGGTTTTGGGGGAGTTTGCCAGTTTTTTAAATTGTTGGCAACTTTATTTCACTATTAATCTTAGTGCAAATTATTTCTTTGGCTTTTACTGATGAAGCAAACTTGAAGATAGAATATAGATTGTCTATATGTATTTGGACTATTTGTAGTTGGAATCAACAGGAAAGCCTCCTTTTTTGACTAAAACTGGGTAGGAGAGCTCTCTTTACTTAAGTTACAAACATGGTAGCATTACCAAAATTATAGCTATGGTTGTTTTTTTTTTTTGTTTTTTTTTATAAAATTCTGCTTATTCTTCAAAACAAAATTTGTGGAAAGGGAGTCATTAAAACTATCATATTTTGAAAGTTACTACTGCAATTCAGTTTAAATAAATGATTGTAACACAATGATGCCACCATGTACATAACCATTTTTTATATATATATATATATATATGAAGCAGTGAGGGAATATGATATCTGGCCTCCTATATGGCAGTGAATACTGGACAATCTCCCCAAAAATGAAGAGACTTAAAACAATAGAAATGTCTTTCTACAGAAGGATACTGATGATACCATGGATCGAATATGTGAGTAGTTACAATGTTTTAGAGAAAATGGAAACAAAAAGGAAACTTACACTTATCAGGATGAATTAGTTGAAAATTCTAGGGCACATTATAAGGAAAGAGGGCTTGGAAAATCTGATACTCACAGGACAAGTTGAAGACAAGAGGAACAGAAGAAAACAATGCATAACCTACTTAGGGAGATTGAGTGTATGGATGGTGGAATAGGGTTCAGGAGAAATAACAAAAAGAGGAAATTTATTAAGAGCTGTGAAGGAGAGGAAATTGTAGAGAGCCATGATCATTTGTCGTGACAGGACACAGCTCATAAAGAGAAAAATCAGAGTTGCTTTTCATTGCAATATTTTGAACTGTCAACCTACATTCTAAAGTAAAGTGTGGAACACAAAGAATACACTCTAAGCAGGACTGGAACTGACATCTAACTTAAAAAGCCTATCCATGTATGACGTCTGCTTTATCATTAATGGAACAGCTGTCATACACCTGTACCTCGAATGAGTCACTTAAAACTTTGTCATATCAACAAAACAACAAAAAGAACCATTGGAATGTAAACTCTTTTCAAAAAGTTTCTGTTTTAATAAATTTGGCTTCAATGACTTACAAACTGTATATATCCTTGATTTTGTTTTTTTTAAGTTCATATCTTCAATTTTTCATTTTGAAAGACTAACAAATCATAAACTTGATGTGTTGTTTATCATGTGCAGACATCAATGCCTCCAAAGATGTCTTCAGTGTTTAAGAATTTGTCACTTAATCCTTTCCAAAATGCTTATGAATGGTTACCTTTTTCAACAAAAAAAAATTTCTTGATCTGATGAGTGGATCTAATCTCTTACCACTTTAGTATTTCTGCACTGTCACATTGAAGAAATGTTTTGTCATGATTGGTTATAGGGATTTGGCTTGCATCAATTTTGCATCTACCACTTGACTTGCTTTGCACAGTTAGTGGTACATTAAAGACATTCTTATTGTAGAGTGAGTGGCCATTGTTAAATGTAAAATAAATGACAGAACTGTCCAACAAATAGAATTGACAAAGTTTTCAATAAGTAATAACAAAAAAAGAACAAGGCAAAAAAAATAATACAAAGCAAATAAACAGTATATGAAAGGCAGATTAACAGTAATAAGGCAAAGCAACAGTAGTATGGCAAAATGTTCACAAACTAAGAATTAGTGTTGACACACAAGAGCAAGTTCGGACAAGTGAACATTGCATTCCGACTTCAAGACAGACCAGGATTTAGTCAGATGAAACCAAGAACTGGCCTATTTTATTGGCTCGGGAGAAATCCTAGCATGCATTTGTCTGTTTCTGCCTGTAAATTGGGGAGGGAAAAGTATGTTGCAGCAATTCCTCATTAAGATTGGAACCAACACTTATAAATCTTCAATAAACTTAGTCTGGAGATTATTACATCAACCATTCTTTACTTGTTAAACTTGTAGTACCAGTTTACCAATATGCTGCTCCAGCATCTAATTGCAATCTAACATTTCAGTAGAATAAGTCTGTTCATATGAGAAACTTTGTACTAGCTGTTTTTTCATCATAAAAATTCAAGATGTGAATTTAATAAGTACCAAACACTTCAAATACCTTGGGGTATGGATCAGTTATAACCAATTTAATAAATGAGATGAGGAAATTGAACATTGAATAGGTTGTGCTAGAGATAGTTTTTACCCAACACCGCAAATTGCTACAAAACCCAAACATCAACCTGGAAACTTGAGCCATAGTCTTAAATAGCATTGTCAGATCGAGACTTTTATATAGATGTCATGTATGGCACAAAATCCATTCAGAAATATCTAAACTGTGAGATGTATACAACCACTTTCTAAGAATGATGGTTAAAAATGGTTTGAGGTAGCGAAACTTGAAGGTCTTGGCAAAGGCCACACCTTTTTTTAACCTTGTGGACTAGTACTACAGAATCACTATGAACTGTACCAAATAAGAAAAACTACATCATTTGATGACTATCAACAGCAGCAACAACTAAAAATGGTAAAATAACATAATCAAGATATTGATATTCCACACTACTTCAAACAAAAGGTTAGCAAAGAAACTCCCATCAATACTGGAAAGAGCTATAACAACTACTCAAGAAACCTATTTTTCTGAAAAATTCTTTTAAGAGAAATATTTTATAAATTTCAACCAAGAATAGTATAAGCTTCTCAGTCAATAAATGCTAAATGTTTCCTTATAAGGAAACAGTATTACCATAGCTATTTGTTGATTTGCTGATTTGTTCTGTTACATAGTTACCAAAATTTTCAGCAATAATTTATTAGCAAGTGGTTAGTTTGGTTTGGTATGCAAGAGTGAAAAGAAGTTTGAAATTATATATATATATATATATATATATATATATATATATATATATATATATATTGTTATTTGTTTTATGCAAGCTGTTGATAAGCCATTTCTTCTTTTGATCAATCACCTGTCTATTTTTTGTTGCTCTTTGTTGAAATGATAAAAATGTAGTCTCTCTTGGCAACATTTTGTTGAATGACTAATCTCTTTTGTATTGAATCCAAATTCATTTTTTCACCTTTACCTGTTGCGATTTTATTTCTTCATGTTGAAATGTTTTTAACTGTCTGATACTTATAAGGAAACAAATCCCTTATTTTTCAGGAATGTTTTACTAGATGTCAGTGTCTTAATGTCACTAACATTGAATCAAAAAGATTCTAAATTGGTGAATGTTTATATCTTGCTTGTGTAGTGCAGTTTTCACTGTTCAATGTTGTACTGTAAATTGGTCACAAATAACCAATATGAAATAATGAATGTCTACACGTTTTTGTCTGTGAAGCATTATTTTTTCTTTTGTTTTTATATGACAGGTCTTTTGTCTTTCCTATTGATATTTTACCTTTTAATATTTTGTGCTAATTTTTGTGACACATTTTTTATGGTTTTAAAATTTTTTTTTATAAATACCAGTTTATCTTTTATATATGAAACAAGTCCTACTTTTCCATTATAATGTTAATGTTTTTACAGTTTTAATATTACAAAGATCTGCTGATTTAAATTCTTTATGGATACATTAAAATATGTTGCATTTTCTTTTTTTTACTTAATGAAAATATACTCAAATTGCAATTATCATTTTTTTAATCTTAAAGTATCATTAATCACAAGAAGTATATAAGACTTTAAATTTTCTCATTTTTTAACTGATAATTTTTTGTCTAAAATTCAATTTTTACTCTTACTATACTTAGTAATTCTTACTCTTTACTATTAAAATGTAATATATTTAAATAAATTTCTTTTTAAATCTTTTTAGCAACAAGATTATCTGGACCATCAAGTAATGAGTCATACATTTGCCAGTCATCCTGAAAATAGATACTTGAACAACACTATGGACAATTCCCGCTACAGCTCTTACAGTGGTTCTTCATTTAACACCAGTTTTGATCCTGACAATGTGGCTGTTGATCGCACCCCAACTTATTCTGGGTAAGTTTACTGTAAACATTTTAGTCAAATATTAGAGCATATCAAAAGTATTTTCGTTTCTTAACCAAAGAATTATTTTTCAATGAGGAATCTTTTCAGAGATCCAATTTTTTTTTAAAGTTTGGATTATGCTCTTCCTTTGGAATCTTTTGATGATCCTAGTTCTGAAAATTTCCAAGACCTAGTAGTCAGGTTCTTGTCTACTTTGTACTTTAAATCATCATAATTGATGGACATCCACTTCTGGGATCTATTTCAAGGAAACATTCACCACCTATATATATATATATATATATATATATATATATATATATATATATATATATATATACTTACCCTACATTTTAATTCTATGAAAATAGTCTTGAGCACTCTTAAGTTGGCTGTTCTTTTAGCTTAACATTATTTTTGCCCAAAATTTAAATTTTATATATATATATATATAATATTTTATTTCCCTTTGCTCTACTTAGTGTATTGAGTACTCTGTTTTAGTTACTCACTTGGGATTTTTTCTTTGGACTGGAAATTTAAGGCACTGGACGATTTTTTCGGCCTGTTTAGATGTTTCTAGTTCTTTCTGTGTTTTTCCAATTTTGTTCCTTGGATACCAATTTGTTTTGATATACTGGCAAATTGTGCCATCTAAATTTTTTACCAACCGAGTATAATTATTAACATACCTCCAAACGAAATGAGAATGAATTTAATATAAATCCCAATGTTTGTAACATATATATATATATATATATATATATATATATATATAAGTCATCCACAGACAGACTGTTTCGCTGTTTCACAGCTCTTCAGTGTGGCTAGACATCCGGTTGCCTCTAGCTAGGATCGAAACCCGACTGAATTGGTGTCAGTCGGAGATTCTACCAATAAGCCGTCAGCGCACGGCAGGAATGAAGGTGAATTTTAGCACATTTATTTTTAGATAAACACACACAGTGACCGAGAGTGACTCAATTTGCTTTTTACTGAAGAGTCTCGCTATATCAGCTATAATAGTCACTGTTTACAAACCCACACCTCTTCCCCAGAGAGCTCAACTGAAATTAATTTTTCAGAGTAATTTCTAATGAATTAAAGGATTTATTTTAAATCTAACATTTTCTCATTACTCAGACATATGCATCTACAAAAATAACATTTAGAATAATGAGATATATCCAGAGTTGGTACAAGGGTCTCATGACCCCACCCGAATCTATGATACAGGGCTCCCCCCTCTGCTCTACTATATCTCAATATTCATATATAATACAAATTTTATTTTAACCTAATTATGTACAATAGTGGATCATATGCAGTATAGGTGAACAATTCTAGAAAAATTGAAAATAAATACAATGTAACTAAATACAAATTAGAGACATGTCATAATCGATCATTATGTCTTGAATAAATCAGCAATGTTTTGCAGCCATTTTTAACATCAACTTGAGATTTTTCTTGTTAAAAAGTTGTATAATTTTAACATATTCACCATTATGGCTAAAAATATTGAATTTTATATAATGTTTTTGCTAGACATAGCATGAGCAAAACAAATTCACAGATTTGGACAAAAATAAAAGACCCCAGAATGACATCAAAATTTGCCAAAGATTTTTCATCCATTAATAATCAGTTGTGCTTAATTTAATTTGTAACATATGTAAATGTAGGTTTAAAAAAAGAAAAAAAAGAAGCAAATGTTGATAAAATAACAGGGTCCCCAATCAGGCTCGTACAAGCAGTTGTGATGTTCAGGGGTAGTATACACCAGCCCTGTATAGATCATGTAATGATCTTAGCTCTTTTCAAAGTTTTTATGATTTGGTAGTCAGGTTCTCTGCTCCCTTGCATTTTAAATCATCATAATCAACAACTGATGCTTGTCCACTATTGAGTTTTATTTCAAGGTACAAGTCATCACTCTTAAAATGCATAAGCCAGTTTTAGGATGTACAGTCAGATATTGATTCATTCCTTTCCATTTCAAAATTTTACAAACCACTTCAGCAACTTTGAGACAGTTTACAATGATGACTCAAATTGCAGTGCAGGAGTGCAATACACGTATCTGCCATTATAACATTTGAAACAAAAGGTACGCCTGAATAGCACTGGTAAAATGTTATGCATTATTAATAACAATAATATAACGGTATCTTAGTTGATGGAATTTTTTTAAAATGCCATCTCCATGCAAGATAGAAGGAGTTACAGATATCCAAATTCTGTTTCTTTATTATTGAATTGCTGTAATTTTTGAGGAAATATAGTGGAGTGGGTTCCTGCTGACTTCTCGACAGTTTTAAATTCAGAGTTATTCTTCTAGACTGGCCCAGTTTATCCTAATAACCCATAGTGTACAGCAGAAATGAATTCAAGCCTTTCCAAAGTGCAAAAGTGTAAAACAAAACCCAAAAAAAATGAAAATACTTTTGATACACCCTAATAAAACATTTCTCTTGATTTTAGAATTAAGTAAAATAATGCATTTTGTTTTATGCTGTTGTTGTTTTAATTTCTGCTTGTCTTCACAAAAATACTAAATACTTAATTCCAAAGAAACTATTTGTTAAAGCAAAGCATATCTGCTTTACTGTGAGCCTGTTTTAGAAAATTACTTGTTTTCAATCTCTCAAAGATCTATGCATGACATTTGAAATACAATTTGATTTTCTTACTCACTTTTTTGATGAATTTCTTCATAGTTACATGATTTACAATCAGATTAATGTCATCTTTGTTGTTACTAGCACATTTCGGTCAATGTACCATCTGGCCTTCTTCAGGGAATTTCAAACTGAACCCTTTATTAAATATATGGGAGTAGATTGTTCTCATTCAGTTGTTCACATCTAGGTATATCTGTTTTTTGTTAAAAAGACTAACAAAAGGACTTTTTTTTTTTTTTTTGTAAAAAGGATTAACAATAACTTGCTAGCCCTGAACAGCACTAAAAAGACAATAAAGATGAAATATACCTAGCTATAGATAACAGGATGAGAACAATCTATCCCTATAGATTGAATAAAGGGTTTAGTTCAAAATTTCCTGAAGGCTACTTGGATCAACAACCACTTGAAGATTGCTTGGAAGGCACATCAGTAAGAACAAAGATGAGGATATTAATTTGACTGTAAATAAATAATGTAAATAACTTCTTGTCACAGAAATTCAACAGAAATAAATTAACTTTTTTTTTTTATTCACTTTTGTTTATTACTATTTCTTTAATCATGTATTTTTGAGACTAACCTCCTAGCCATATATTTGATACTACAGTGCACAGTGTAGCAATGCCTGCCAGGGTTGCCAGAATTTAAATCCCAGCACCATTAAATTTTTGAATTGACTCCTTCATAAAACCAAGTTGTTTTTGAATGACATCTTAGGATAGGATTCTTTTTCTTTATTTATGAATTACTATAACTTCTTGGAAAAGATCAGGAAGTGGTTTTCTGTTGACATCTCCATGGTTTATAATTCAGTGTTATTGTTCTCTTGGACTGGCTGCCACCCAAGGCTGCCTAACTGTGAAACCCATAACTGAGGGTGTAAGAGATGGATTCATGACTTTTCCTAGAGCATTGTGAATATAACTGACTTGGTCACAATTTGAACTCTGCTCTCTGATTCTATTTTCAGTGCTTATAATCATTCAGCTACCTGTATATCCTATTAAGCTCAAGTCCAGCTTATTTTAAAAGTCAACCAGAAGTTCACAAGTAGTGAAATAAAAAGTTTAGTAGTGTTGGGCTTTTGACAATGGCTCAGTCTGGCAATCCTGATTCTTACTAGTTGATGAAACGACTATAGTCACTTTTTTTATTATGATTCACTACAGTACTTTATTATATTGCTCAAAATAAATGACAGTATTATTACCCACAAATATGCACCACAGTTCCTGATGCTGTTATCACTTAAATTGAATAGATAGAACCACTATAGCTTTTTACTCTATGCACTTCACCATGTTGCTATAATTCTCAAATAAATGACTGTATAATTAGCCATAGATATGCACTATAATTAGTAATGATGCAGTTCCCACTTGAACTGATAGATGGAACCACTATAGCTGCTTATTCCCTTCAGTACTGCTGCAGTTCTCAAATAAATAGCAACATAGTCAAACTTAAAAGATAAATTTTCTGCTGAAGTCACGTTCATCATATTGTGCTGACTTTAAAGTATTATTTTGGTGACAGGCACTTCATCTATGATGCAGTTCTAAAAATGTTTGACAATTTTAGGAATAAGGAACCACTGACTAAACCCATGATTGAAAATATTTTTAACCCAGAAATTGAAAAGAAGAATGTTGATGGTGCAGTATTTTTTTTAGTTTCATACTTAATATATAATGAAAATAGTTAACTTAATTGGCATCATTTTTCAATGTCACTTCGAAAAGTAGCTTTTTAATTAAGGTATAATTTGTTGGAATTGTTTCTAGCAATTTTAAATGCTTATAAATAAATAAAAATGGCTTAATTTGGTCTCCAGACATTCAGTGGCTAGGAGGTTAACAACATTTGTATGAACTACTTAATTTATCTACTAATTTTTATCATAACTTACTATATTTAGCAACATGGCATGACCAAAGTTGGTCATGGATGGTGTAATCGAAGGTTATTCTAACATAAAAAGACCTGTTAATTCAAATTTCATATAATTATGATTACATATTTTTAGTTATTTTTATTTCAATTAAACTAGGTTAAATATGATTTTTAATTATGAATTCTGTAGCTTAAGATTTTTATTAATTTTAACACTTATTCAAGTTATATTTGCCCATTGTATTTTAATAGAAATTCCTAAATTGTTTTCTCTCTCTCTCTCTTTCTATATCTATCTATATATATATATATATTTAATCCCAACAGGAATTATAAAATGGTCATATTTATAGCATTCTTTTACCATTTTTCTTTCATCTTCTTAATAATAGCAAGCTTAAGTGGAAAAGGTAATGGCTAACATTGTTTTTCCATCTCTCTTCATGTCCCACCGCTATGCTGTTATGGGTATTCATGTGTGCATGTTAAAATAAGACTAAAAGTGAATGGAAAGGTCTTAAAATTCTTTTCTTAAATATTTATTTAAAAATTTGTCCAAGGTGTCATCATCATCATGCTCTCATGGCGTCAGATCTAAATTGATTAGAAATGGTAACATGTACATGATTGCCTTGGTCAATTAGGATGGGCTACAGTCTATATCCTGTTCACTACCACAGATTTGCTTGTCAATATCCTAACCATAACCAGTTGGTCATGTCCCCTAGGGATGCCATATTGTGCATTTCTGTTCATGAGAAAGAGTAGTGGGGAAGCGTCATGGCCAAGTGTTGAGAGGATTGTTTTTCAGTCTTTTTATTTTTTTCTTTCTTTAAATTCTGAAGGATGATTCAGCCAAGGTGACTTGTGAATCACATCAAAACAATTGGGACCACCTGAGAGACTGTTCTGAGTAGACCGGGTTACTGACCTGAATCTATTACTAACTGGGCCTCACCTGCCTTTATCAAAACCTGTCACCATATCATACGCACATGGCTGTGATGCATCTGCCTGATGTCTCCTTATTAGACTGGGTATCATAATGGGTCCATATTGGGCTTCATACATTTTTAAGCTGACATGACATTATCAGGGCAATTCTGCTCTCTCACTCAATTTTCTTTTATGATTTTAAAATGAAACGCTTATAAATTAAATTTAAAAAAAACCTTTTTCAAAACATGATAAATATTTACTGAAAGGAGACCTGAAATTCACTTTTAGTTTTAGGATGATTCATAAGCAGTGACCTTATTATTCACTGGTTCATTGTAGAAAATGATTTGCTTATGTTTACCGTCATGGATCACCGTGTGTGTGTGTGTGTGTGTGTGTATATATATATATATATATATATATATATATATATATATATATATATATTAGCTTATTCACCTTTTTCTGTGTTTTGTTTTTAATATGCTGCATTACTTATATAGTGGCTTCTTGCACTTATAATTGATATTTATTATTGTTTAAATCATTTTTCTTTTTTATTAAAGTGCTAAAAATCTGTAACAACCTTAACTGGAAAAAAATTGCTTCTTTTCATATATATATATATATATATATATATATATATATATATATATTTAATTTTATTTTATTTTTTACATTGTCATTTTTGTCTGTTAAATTGAAAATGGTTTTGTAATTGTTGAATTTTAATTTTTGGTATAATTTTCTACTTGGTGTTTATCTTGTATTTAGAAAAAAAAAGATCAAATTCAGTAATATTAAATTTATTAAAATTTAAATTAATAATACTCTTGTTATATTTAGACAGCACATCTTCATTCAAACATGTTTCATTAAATAATATAGACATATTATGTCTATTTTTATAATCCTTTCTAGTTCTCTAATTATCTTGTTGATGTTAAGTTGAAATTCATCAAGGAAGGTGCCATTACATTCAGCTTGTCTCAACAATTCACCCCTGAGGTTGATCTCAGCGGAGATTGAAAGTACTTAACAAAAAATATGTTGCCTTCGTTGATGAATTTCAACTTAAATTCAAGAAGATAATTTGAGAACTAGAAAGTATTATTATAAAAATAAATAGACATAATGTCTATATTATTTAATGAAACTTAATTTAACACACACACACACACACACACATATATATATATATATATATATATATATATATATATATATATATATATATATATATATATATATTTTAATGTGTGGGTGGCTAATTATGCAAATGAAAATGAAACCAAAGGAAATAATAGTTAATAATAAATCTCTCAACACACCAGATGATTTTCTTATATATAAATAAGATTGTCTGTATATTTGGAGGCGGGGACAATGGAGGAAAAGAACTGAAAAATATATCAAATTCAACAATAATTTAATGAGAGTATTTCTTGTTGTTCACTGATCTGTGTGGTTTGAGATCCTGAGAGGAGTCATTTTCATTCTTTGAGCTATTCAGACTAGTATTTTTATCCATGTTTTTTTTTATTACAATGTTTCAGCTGATACTGTCTTTGGCCTTTATCAATCTGAAATAACTTGTAGAATAATTCACTGATTCATTATCAGGCAATTTTGTGTTCATCTCTTTAAATGCATTAAAGCAAAAAAAAAAAACAAAAAAACATTTCTGAATTATATTGAGTATTTGATTTATCTCCCTTGACTATAGAATCATTTTGTTGTTGTGCTTTTGTTTTTTTTTCCTTTTGAATTTGTTGATTTTTTTTTTCCTTTTGAAATTGTCTTTTGAAAAGTAAAAAAAAATTATTAGTCTCTTTCAAATGTCATTTAACCATTTAAATTAAATAAACATAATTCCCCAAATATATAGTAATACACAAGAGAACTGTCCATTTCTCTCATTGCAAATCTCAATAAAAGAGTCACAAATGTTTTTGTATTTTTACATTTCCTAAAACATTCAAGTAATCTGTTAGCATATTTAGAGGATGCTGTTAATGGCATGGTATATGGAGTCAGTTAACAAAGTTCACTCAAGCTGGAACACTTTCTACTAAAGGCCATGAGAAAGGCATGACTCTATTTCACCCTAGCAACTATGGGTAAATAGACTTTTATCCCTGTAAAGCAGTTCAACTTTAGTTTTGAACTAATAGATAAAAAAATGAAAAAAAAAATGAAAATAATGCAACATCAGTTGATGATGATGTAGTCTAGTATGTTATAAGCAGTCTATAGGGAAAAAAATTAACTGATTTTACTCTTTAATTTTAATAATACATTTTACAATATGGAGCTTTCAATATCTAGAAATAAAAATTTACTATCTTGGTTATATCACATTGGAGCACTGGTTCTTGTATGATCACTGGAGTTAAGTAATGTCAAGCCTGGTCTGAATCCTAAGAGGATGTTTCCCCAATTACTACAATCTTAACCTGTTCAAGGCTAGGGTCAACCTTTATTGTCCACTCCTATTTGCACATTTTGCCTCCTAACGTAATCCTCTACCTTGAATAGACCCCAGGCCTTGTAAAGGATGAACTTTACTGTAAAAAAAAAAAAATTTGGCCTAGCCTTTTGTATTTACTTTTGCATAAATACCATTGGGAAAGACATGAATGAATTTCTTCTCCCCACCAGCTATGGGTCAAATAGTAGAGTAGACTAAGTTCTAGACTTGGATGACAAATAGTCTGAGAGAAGAAAAAAATGAATTCTAAACTGTTGAGACTGTAATGTGAAAACACTCTGTCTTTCCTAAGAAGTCATGGCAATTCCTCAGATAATAAAAGGAATCTATGAGGAGTCACAGTCACCAAAATGTCTTGAATTGACATGACATTTAAAAAAAAAAATCTATCCCATAATAATTGTTATGTTTATTGTATGCAAATGTAACAACTATTATTATTATTAAATAATATTATTTTTATTCTAAAAATGATTGTTCAGATTAAATCTAAAAATATAATTCCTCATATATTTGTAACGTGTATCAACCCCCAAAATAATCTTTTACTAATGGTTTTCCTTGAGAATGGGATTATCATAATCCTCAATGGGATTATTATTTCATAGAGAAAATGGACAAATATATTACGTTGTGTAGAGAACAGTACTAAAAAAGTGATTTTTAACATTGAGTATTGTGCTAGTCTTTCAAAATTCTACATGTGTACTATGTATTCATTCTTTATCTCATAAATCAAATTCCATATTGAAAGCCAACTTTATTCTCCAAGGAATTATTTCATGGCACCATTTGGCCACCTCTGCTTTTGAAATTCTGTTGAATGAGTTTAGTACTCTCCTTTGATGCTACAAGATTGTCTGACCCAAATCTGTTCACAGCAAATAATTCTTAGCTAAAAATGGCTGTTGCTAGACTCTACCAGTTGCTAATCACTATTCTCTTACTTACCAACCAGTCAGCAGCAGAATAGTATGTTCCACCCCAGACACTGTTGGTGGGTAATAAGAGGTGGAAGACTCAAGTGAATAACCTATCATGATTCTGTACCCCATTCAGGAATAGGAGCATTAATATTCCTATCTATCTCTTCTGCAGTTACTACTAAGCTTGGGAGAGTGTTTAACTTTTTTTTAAAAAAAGATTTTAACATTTTACTTGAATCATTTATTTACATTGGACTTTTCTTCTTTTTTTTCTTCTTTTTAAACTAAAATCATAAATTTCTTGGTCTTATTTGAACAAATCTTAATATTTTATGTAAAAATCTATGAACATAGCAAAAATCTATACCTGTCCCAGGGTGGAAAAATTCTTATTTCAAGACAAAAAAATTATTGCTGTAGGAATGAACAATGACTTCTAATATTTTATTTTCTACTTGAATATTTTAATATTTTCAGATCCAAATCAGATTTTATTCTGTAGGATATTTTTTTCCTATTGCAATAGGATAATGTATAAACATACACATGTGACACCTTAGAATTTCTTTAATAAAATAATTGTTGTAAATTAAGTAAACATTTATTACTTTTATATAATTAAATCCATTTATTATTTTTAATTATAATTTAATCCATTTTCTTCTTTAAGAAAAATATTTTCTCCTCTTTTGTCTCATTGATGCACTTTGTCAATTGTAATCAAAATCAAATCAATTTATTGTGTGATCTTTCCTTGAAATCTGACTGTGACTAAAACCATGACTATTGCTGTCCACAGTTTCCTGGTCAGTTTTATGGTAGATGCCAGGGGTGGAGCAATGCGAGGTAGTCGTCATTCAGGTGTACGAATCATCATCCCTCCTCGCAAAGCTTACATGCCCACAAGAGTGACTTGCAAATTAATTAAACGAGAGAAATTAAGCCATCCACCTCCTCTTAATGAAGGTGAGGCTTTGGCAAGTCGCATCCTGGAAATGGGACCAGTTGGAGTCAAGTTCCTTGGGTAAGTATTACTGTGCTTGTATTATTTTTTCTTTTTTTCTATTTAGGATTTTCCCCCTTTTTCCTTTTTCCCTTTCTTTCATCCCTTTCTTTCTCACTTTCTTTCATTCTTTTCTCTCTTTCGTTTTTGCTTATTTCTCTCCCCTTTTTTGCTTTTTTCTCTTATTCCTTTTTTTTTTTTTTTGCTTCTTTCTCACTTTCCTTTTTATTTTTGCTTCTTTCTCTCTTTCCTCTCTCAACATTCTCTTGCTTTTCTCTCTCTCTCTTTCTCTTTGCTCCTTTCTTTTAATTTTTTACTCTTACCCCCATTTTTCCCCTCATCTCTCTTTCCTTACTTTCTGTATTTCTTCCTTTCTTTCCTTCCCACTTCTTCTAGTTCCCCTACCACTCATTCCTTTCTTTCTCCCATCCTCTCATTGTTTTCTTTTTTTTTTCTTCGTTTCTTCTAATGTGAAATCTTGTTGATAAATAGGTTTTTATAATAATGGAATTGTTATTGTTTTAACATTTCACTATTTACCTAAGGTTGATCATTTCTATTTAATTATGAATTTTTTTTATGAAATAATTTGTATGTAACTAAAACAAAAATATTTAGTTGTGTAAAATAAACATAAGATATGATATCAGTGATAGTAGACATTATACAGTTAGCTATATAGCAATTTTTGCAACACTGATATAAATTGAACAATTTTAAAAATACACATAGGTATATTAATCTCTATAGCCTACTGTTAAAAAAAAAACAACTCTATTTTACATGACAAATATTTATTTTTCAACATCAACTCCTCCCTTTACAGAATTGATTGTTATTCATATGGATCAAACATACAATGAAAATTTCAGATCAAAATTTAGTTAAATCTGGCTATAAACTTATTGACACATCTTTATACTGTTTATGTGACTACCACTTATGTATATTTGTAAATAATAATAATAATAAACTAATAGTAATGACACCTATTGGTATACATAAAATTATATATAATCCCATGTATGTTGAGGGGTACATAATTTCTATCAATTTGGTAGATATGTAGTTTTTGTGATTACATGTTCCTCAGGACCCAGACTAAAATGATTTTATTTATATTATATATATATATATATATATATATATATATATATATATATATATTTATTTAAAAATATGATTCCAAAACATGCTTTTCAGCTCTTGTTTTGAAACATAGAACCGAAGCGTTTTCCATGTTTTTAAAACAAGTTTTCAGCTCTTGTTTTTTTTTAAACAAAAAACTGAGAACTTTCCTATTTTCTATATATTATATATATATATATATATAATAATTTTATCGTATGTTTTACTCACTACAAAGGAATTTTTCGATTCTTACCCGTATTTTGCATCTTTGTGGTAAATAAATAATTTGTCTATATTTTATGCTCTTTAGCCCTTTTTGTTTTTTTTTAAGTTAAAACTGATGATCAGAGGACCGCTCAAAAGTACTATTTTTTTGTAAAAAACAAGGATAATTCATAAATATTAAAGAACTTTTAGGATTATTTACCTAATTTTTTTTTTTGCGAGTTCTTTCCTCTCTCTTTCTCTTTTGCTATTTTTTAATTTTTTACTATATATTTTCACATATATATATATATATATATATAATAATTTTTTTTTATGAAATATTTGTATGTAACTAAAACAAAAAATATTTAGTTGTGTAAAAAATAGACAAAACCATTTTACTTTTGCAACACTGATATAAATTGAACACTACAAAGATGCAACTCTAAGATTGTTCATAACCATTTTGTTATTCGATTCTTACCCAAAATTTAGTCGTCTTTTTAAGTGCAGTTGAAATGCACTAAAACCAAGTTGCATCTTTTTGTAGTGAGTAAAATGGTTTTTTTATATATTATAAATATTTAATAAATGAATAATTATTGCTCTATCGGTATTTAGCCCTCTTTTGGATTTTTTTGGTTTTTTTTTTTTTTTAAGTTAAAAACTGATGATCAGAGGACCCGCTCAAAAGTACTTGCATATTTAAGGAAGACCTAATACAGTTTGTAATTTTAAAAAACAAGGATCATAATCATTCATCAAATGGTTAGTGGGTTAATGCACCTTTAAAATTTAGTTAAATAAAAGAATTTAGCCCCATTTTATTTTTTTTTTTTTAAGTTAAAAAACTATCATTAACTTTACTAATTTACTTTTTTGTATGAATGATTCATTCATAAATGGTTATATATATGTTTATGTTTGTTTTAAAAACAATACGCTAGAATTAGCTGTTTCTTTCTACTGAATGATGATAGCTCAGTGGTAGAAACTCTGACACCAAATTGGTCAGGTTTTGGTCCTGACTTGAAGCATTTGGATGTCTACTTGCACTGAGGAGCTGTGATACAGTAAAACAATACTGTCTGTGAATGAATGACACACACACACACACATATATATATATATATATATATATATATTCTTACTCTGTCCTGGATTTGAGTTCTACCTGGATTCTATCATCTTGGGAATTATATATATATATATATATATATATATATATATATATATATATATATATATATGTAATAATTAACAATTATTCTTGTCTTGGTCCTGAGAAGTGTGGAATCACAGAGCACCGAGTTGATCACTGAGAAGTATTGTGAATTTTCATAATTTTTTTTATACAATATTTGTAAATATAAAAATGTAAATAATATTTAGAGTTGAAGTTATTCTAAACCATTGCTTTTATAATATCAGATGTGTTTTTAGTTTGAAAGGTTTAATTGCAAATTACATATAAAATGATTTTGAACAGGTCTCCTTATTTTAAAATTTATCTGTAATCACTTAGAGTGGATTTTCAACATTATCAATATTTCATTTTATTTATACATACCTTTTTAGGCATGTATAAAAATTAAGAAATAAAATTGATCATATGATAGAATACTTAAGCAAAATTATTTTTCTTCAGCTAAATAATGTTTAACTACATTTTTGGTACAAGGAAATCTGTAAAGATGTATGGGTGTAGAGAATCCTTTGCAAATGTACCACATACTCTTGATTGTCTTTTGTTCATACTTCCTTTTCCAAATAAAGGGGTGGTTATATGTTAGCTGAATTTTGAACTGAAATTTTCAAGGGATAATACTCAATATATATAATTAATTTTCACTTAAGTGCATTGACAAGGTGGAAATGGTTGAAAAATAAATATTCAGTTGTATGTAAATAATGTTGTTGTTTTTTCATCATTATGCTACGAAATTAAAGAAAAGTTTTGAATGGGAAAGTTTACTTGAATGTAAGACTTAAGGAGAATTAAAACATAGCTGGCAAGGTTCCATCTACCTCTTTTATATATATATATATATATATGATAATGATATATAATTTTTTTTTTTTATATATCAAGAACAATTTTTGGAGGAAAGATGTATGATATGACAAATTGGAAAAAATTTACGTGTGATGAATTTCGTCCTTTACAACTTCATCAGATGAAATGTATCACACAAAAACTTTCCCTCTTTGTCATATATATATATATATATATATATATATATATATATATATATATATATATATATATATATATATAATCAAAAGTTCTATCTATCAATTTTTTTGTTAGTTTTTAAATTTTTCAAATTAGGTGTTTTTTATTAATAGTAAATTTGACAAAGTTTATATTTATTTTTATTTAAAATATATTTATTTAAATAAAAATAAATATGAACTTTCTCAAATTTACTGATAGACAGAACTGTTCATATTATATAACCAAACGTGTTTGAGAGACTTATTGCTGCTGAAATACCCTTTTTACACATACACACTGAAAAATTCTTGGCCTGGCCCTGTTCTCAAAATCTCCCCAAAATGATCCAATTTTTTGAATCCAATAATTCAGGCTAAAAACATTTCAGTATCTTTTTATGCATATCTCCTCCACATGTATCAGACATGAAGTTAAATTTTAGAATTCTCTCTTTTAGACAAGTTTAAGTTGGAATGCGTAAATTGAAGATAATTTCAAAGAAAAAGAATTATACTGTGTTTTTAAGAGAAATGGTTTCTCTTTCATTTCTCTATAGCCCCGTCATTATTGAAGTGCCACATTTTGCATCCCTCCGTGGCAAAGAACGTGAGATTGTCATCATTCGCTGTGATGATGGAGAAAAATGGACGGAACATCCCATGCAAGCTACAGAAGAAGCTGTCAACGAGACACTCAATGGAAGTTTTGAAGGTCAAAATGCATCAGTGTCAAGTCTGTGGAGTGAGCATGCAATTTGAGTTTTTTTTCTTAATTTGCAGTTTATATTCATTTTAATTTGATCTTGCATTTGATTTTATTTATTGAGATTTTCATTTGAGTTGCTTAATTTAATTTTTAAAAATTACTTTGATATGAAAAAAGAAACAAAAAAACTATAAGCTTATTGAGAATGACAAAATATTAAGGTGTATCAAAAGTAATTTATTAATTAATAGGAAACATTTCAACACTCTCTGTAAGCCTATTAAAGTTTGTATATCATTCAATGATCCAAGATCTTTTAAAAGATATTAGGTAGATGTTTGGATTTTCTTCTCCCTTGCTTCAAGTGACATAACTGTCAAATCTGCCAGTAGCATCAGTGGGTTTGAGACCCAGTTTAAAATAATGCCTTAAAATTGGCAGAATCTTAATGTTTCTACCTACCATTATAACATCTGAAATAAAAGGTACAGCTGAATAGTATTGATAAAAACATTAACATAATATTGACAAAATAGTAGAGTCGTAGATGCTTCAATGAAATAAGCTTTGAAGTAAAGGTCTGAAAAAAAAAGAAAATGAAAATACTTTTGATACACCCTAATAGAATTTGCACAAGCTACTGCAAAGAGCTTTTTATAATTGTTGCAACACTTTTTTGTTTGGATAATTTCCTCACTTCAGATGCATGTCATATAAAAAGAATTTAATTGAATATTTTAAAATAAATGACATTTCTAAACCCAGATAAATTTCACAGATGGTTATTGACTAAGTTTAGCTTTCTCTGATACAAGACCATAATATTTAAGTATTTAGTAAGCCTTGGATAAACTACACTTGCAAGTTGGTTTTTGAAACATTTCTTTCTCAAATTTAAAATTGGGGGCTATCAAAATATATATATATATATATATATATATATATATATATATATATATTTAGAAATTGGTTTGTTGATGTTTCAGATGTAAAAATAAGTAGATATAGCTTTAGAGAAAATCTGAACAAGTGCGTGTGCTTTGTGGCAAATGCAACTTTACAAGAATTGTGAAGCTCTCTGTAGCTGAGCAGTCAAAGTACGCTGGATCAGACTGGTTTCTTCTTCAAAGAAGGATAAATATGGGTATACTCTAAAAATAAGATTTGAACTAATAAATAAATATATGTGCTAAAATATAATTTTAAGGCATGCTATATTTATGGGTTAAAGAGTGCTCAATATCAGCTATAGAGTGTATGTCAATATAAAAGTGAATATTGAAGTCAACAGCCAGAGGCGAGAGTCTGTTTCATGCTTAAATGCAATCTTTGTGCAGCAAGGCTTCTGACCGAGAGGTTTTGAGGAGCATGGAAGCACTTCTTAATTGCTGTTGTTCCTAGCTCCACCCTGACACGGAGTGATAGTACCTGTTATGTTCCCTGCTATGGGCAAATAGTGAACCCCTAAAGTGGGGTCAAAATATGAAAATATAAGAATACATTAGAAAAAGTAATTCTTAGTAAAAATAAAAAAATTACCAGCAATACATTTTTGGAAAAAAAAAAGATTACAAAAGCTCACAAGAGAATAAAATTTTGGCATTAAATGACCCATAAGGTGTTGATATGCCATTAAACAACCAAACCAAACTAAGCAGGATGAAAATTGGCATTTTTTTTTTTTTTTTTTTTTTTTTTAATTCATAATTGTTCAGTCCCATATTCGTTCATGTAACAAAGATGAATTTTTGTCAGATAAATTATTTGAAACTAGAATATCCAAATGTCTTTGTTCTTTTACTTGATTAAGGCAAACTTTATCTCGTGTGTAAGTGTATTTCATTTTGTATCTTCACCTCGACACCCTTTCCCACATTGAATTTTACATGCCATCATGGAAGTAAATTCAAGCTGAAAGTGAATTTAAATCATCTTAAAGTAAGGAGCACAATATGTGTGTCATGTATGCATGTTAAAACAAAAGAATTATTGAAAGATAGCAAGGAATAGTTTAACATGTTAAACCAATAGTATTGGTTTGATGATAATAATGCTCCAACATCTAATCACTGCAAGAGAACGTACTTCAATTTTAGAGTCTAAAATAGCTGGTAACATAGAATTTTGTGTACTACTGCTGTGTATTTTTAGGAATAAAGTAAATCTGATGGCTACACCCATTTACATATTTCTGTAAAGTAATCAGCTCATAAGTTTCAGTGGCTTAAAGAAGCCATTTTAAAATCAACATTTCTACAGGTGCTTCGTTTTTCTTTTTTTAAATTTTTACCAGCTTCATTCATATGTATTTTTATTTGTTGTAAAATGTTTTTTTTCTGTCGATTTTTTTTGGCAACAAATTTTTATATTTTGCATGTTTTATGTACAATTATCACCATGTATTTTTACTGTTGTATTCATTAGAAGAAATGTTATTTATTCTCACATTTTTGTTTGCTATTTATCCAATTTTAAAATTATTATATAATTAGAATATTGTCCTAGTTCAGGAACTGACCAAATCTAACCTGCTATGATTTTATCTGATCTGCAGACTTTGAAATATTTTGTAATTCTGAAATAATAGCTTTAGATTATTTTCCTTTTAATATTATTTTTATAGATAAACTTAAAAAAATTTTTTTTTTCTTCTATCATTGAGAACCTTTTGTAAGATCTACTGTTAGGAGTAACTGATGCTGTTCTATGACATGCTGAAAAACCAATACAAGTGAAGATTTTCTAATTTTTAGAAATGCTTCCCAATATTCTACTTAAAAAAAAAAAATATTCTGCTTGTTATTTTTATCATTTGGTACATTTTTATTTGCAAAGACATTTTCAAAATTGAAGCCTCCTTAAATCTACATATAATTCAGTCTTAACTGACCAACACTTGCAACCAATTTTGATGATAGAAAAGCATAAATTTGGAATCATAATTTGACTTCTTTATTAATCTCAGAAAAGAGAAATTCATCATTCACTCCATTTGACATTTTTTTCTTTTTAATTAGTAATGCTACTGTTAAAAGAATTATATTGGATTTTATGTTTATTATTTATAAGATTTGTATCACTAAATCATTATGTCAAAACAAAAAATTCTTACAGCCTAAAAATATTTTCTGGCATTAGATAACCTGCAAAGTGGGTGATAAGCCATAGAAAATTAATGAATCAATCAATTTGTTTATTCATAATGGAAAACATTATTCAATATGGATTAAAGTACAAGTAAGAATCCTCAGACAATTGTAAATTATTGGCAAGTGAGGGCTGAACTAAGAGAAAAAAAAAAAAAAAAAAAAATTAGAAATTATTAATATTGCAAAATATATCATGGTTGATTGGGGTAAAGCCCTCAAGCCTTTATTTATTGATTTATTTATTGATTCCCCCCACCCCAAAAAATGAGGATGTATTTTACTTTTGAAACTAAATTAATCATTCGCTTGCCAATAATTTACAATCACCTGAAGAGACACATTGTCATGTGCTGAAACACGACTGCAATTGTGTAGCAATTTTGACGTTTTTGTGGTAATATCCAAAAATAAATAATATTGCTCTACTATGTATTGAGCTCTCTTTTAAATTAAATGTTACGAACGTTGGAACTGTACTCTATTTGTTCTCATCATACCTGGAGATATATGTATATGTATATATCCAGGCAGTTTCATTTTGAGTTTGTCTTTGCTTGTTACTTAAAAAAGAAAAAAAGATTGCCAATCTGCCCAACTTACCTGAAATAAGAAATACAAAAAGCAACATATTAGCAACCTGTTTTCACAACTTACCAATGAGATATTACAATATTATAACAAAAGTCATGTTAGTTTATTATCTTTCGGTAATGCTCCAATAAATCTATAAAGTCACATTGTTTTATATATGTAGGTCATTTTTTAAAGTCTATCTTCATCTCTGATCAGAGGGGGTCATTTTTCTTAAGCATAGCTTAGATGTGACACAAAGCTGAAAGTAGGGGAGCATAGTGAGGATTGAACTTGCTATTCAGTTTAATTTAATTGATCTAGAGAGATGAGCTCACAATCCATTATACCACGTCAAAGTTCTCCTTCATCTCTGATCAGAGAGTTGGATTGTTTAATTTAATTTTGGATATTAATCTTATTATAAAATTCATGTTTTTCAGAGCTGGACCAAGAAGAGGAACTCACTGCTAAGAGAATCACTCGTATTCTGACAACAGATTTTCCAATGTACTTTGCTATTGTAACACGTATACGCCAAGAAAATCAAACAATTGGTTCTGAAGGTGGAATGCTCAGTTCTACTGTTGTTCCACAAGTTCAGACAATTTTCCCCGAAGGAGCCCTCACTAAGAAAATACCAGTTGGCCTTCAGGTGAATTGAAATTATCATAATTGTTATTCAAATGTTTTGTTTTTTTTAAATTTGTTACTGATAATATTAATGTATTTAAACATTTACCCTATATACTTGTGTAACATGTGATCTTGCATACCATGTGACCACCAAATTTTCACTTATAAAAAATGATTTTATCATGTATCTTGTGTATCATGCGAATTCCTTTTTTGAGAGACCAAATTACAATAAACTAACTTCTTTTCTTCTATCTTTTTATTCCATCTTTTAGTTGAATAAGTTAAAAAAAAGTAAAAGAGAATGATAAAAGTATCATTACTAACGCTATACTCATTGTGTAAACATGTACAAATAGGAAAATATTTAAAAAACATCTCCCAAATGACACCTCTATATTCAGTGCAGAAGTTTGCGCAATTAACATGGCTCTTAACCTCATCTCAGAATCAAGGAACAACAAGTTCATTATCTTTTCTGATTCACTATCAGTATTAGAATCACTAAAAAACAGGAAGTTTGATAATCCATTGATAGTGAAAATACTATGTAAATTAGAACACCTATCAAATGATAATGATATACAGATATGTTGGGTCCCAGGTCACACTGGAATCGGTGGAAATGACCAGGCAGATAAAGCAGCCAGGTCTACTCTAAATATGACCATAGAAAAAAATTTCAAAATACCATATACAGACCTTAAAATGAAGATAAATAAATACATACTGCAACAAAGACAACAACGCTGGAACAGCAATAGTAATAATAAATTACTAAAAATTAAACCTGAATTGGGAGAATGGAAACAGAGCTATAGGAAAAATAGAAAAGAGGAAGTGATATTGTCCAGACTTCGAATAGGCCATACAAGGACAACACATTCCTACTTACTTGAAGCAAAGCAACAACCAATGTGTTATGCATGCCAGACCGCATACACAGTGAAACACATTCTCATTGAATGTACTGACCTAGCCCATATAAGAGAAACGCTTTATAGTGCCAGTAACATGAAGGAACTGTTCCAAAAAACTGACATGGATAACATAATATCGCTTTCCTGAAAGCAGTCAATTTGTACCAAAAAATCTAAAAACATAAAAAGTTGGGAGTTTTCTGCAAACTTTTGCTGCAAGGAATGTTTTCAACAAAATCTGATTCTTTCTGCATACCATTTCTCAAAAAAGGAAGAAACTTCCTACGATACAATTCTCTACAAAAATTTTTTTTTGACAGAACCAGATTTTTTCTACAAACCATTTCATTTCTAAAAACCTTTTTCAGCATGGCAAACCTCTCCGTTTGTGGAAATGGAAGGGTCTATTATATTGGAAAATAATATTCCAATAATAACCTGATTTGACATTAAATGACTGAGGAGGTCGATATGTCGTAAAACACAAACAAACAAACAAACAAACAATAAACATGTACAGCCATAAACAACTGAACGGAAAACAGCTAAACATCTTATAAATGTAAACACTGGAAAAGATGCATATTTGATATGTTTGTATTTTATAATATCATACTAATATGTGAATATTATATGCATTATTATTATTGGATACAATTAATTAAAAGATCAAGTTTATCAAAATCATGTTTATTTTAAATTTCGCTGTACATTTTGACTACAGTAAATGGATATATGGTTTGGTTAACAGCGTAGCCAGGGCCAGCAGTACATATACTAATTTTATATCTTGTGTATGATGTGACCGCTTTAAAATTAGTTTAAAATTAGGTCTTCAAAAGTCGCATGATACATGAGTATATACAGTACTTTATTTTTATTTAACTGAAAATCAAGCCATGATTTTAATATGTACTTTTTAAAACCCTAGTAAAACATAAAGCTTTTCATTCTTTTTAAATTTAAGATTAATTTTTGTATGTTTCAATATATTTTCCTAATATTGCAGTCTTTGTTCTGAAAGCACCTTAAATATAAGGTCTGTCCAAAAATTATACAGCTGTTTAATATTAAAGTAGACTACCTTTTGTATGTGTCTCACCTCAGACGATTTCAGAATAGACTTTGCAGTCAGAGAAGCTAGGTGCAGGGGTGACTTGAAGGATGACCTCCTAATCAGGGGTGAAGATTTACGATTCACCTGATGTCAGTGGCTACCCCATGTGAACACCTAATCAACCTATCTGTGCCTGGGATATGTGCTTGTATCTTAGTTTCCTTCAGGGTTCTCTCCTTGGGACCAAACACACTTTTCAAAACAGTCTGCAAAGTCCATTTTTGGGGTCACCAAATGCCTCATGTTCTTTTTAATCTCGCTCACTTATCCCAGTGTTCTTTTCTCTTTTCAAAACAATCTGTAATGTCCCATTTTGGGACCACCATCAGCTGCTTCACCATTCTCTGTAAACTTGCTGAAAAATGTCAAACCTTTCAGTAGAATGTTTTAGATTTATGAATAAACTAGAAGCAGAAGTCACAATGTCACGGTCTAACAAAACCTGGTCATATTTTGCCAAAAATTCTTGCAGAAGACACTGAAGAAATTCTGAATGATTGAATTCTTTTCATACAGTCTGTAGGAATCCCTGGATCTTCTAATTTTTGCACTGTCAATCATCAATTTCCTTTTATTGCCAACTGTTATATGTTCAACATTTTTATGTGTTCTGCATGTTTGAAGGCTTTCCAGAACATGGATTACTTTCAGTGAATTTCTGGACAAGTTTAAAGACTCAATATTAAAATTTTATCTCATTGAATCTTCCTTAAAAACTTTAATTATTTGACTGGTTTCTGCAAGTGAATGTCCAAATTTTAGGCAAAGCTTGATGCATATACCCTTTAAATGCAACAGTAAAACAGTACAAAGATTCATTCAGTGGAATCTCACTGCTGACTGAGTAAACTCACAAGAGAGTATCTGTTCATAAATGTAAAATAAGGTCCCCTCAGATTGGTTACATCAAGGCCAGACAGTTCTCAACATATTCAAAATGGCTGGATACTTTCCAGACAGACCTCATTTTTTTAAGTTAAATATTTAAATTTAATATTCAAGTTAAAATTTTTAATAAATTTAACTACTGGATGTAAAAGCAAAATTGTTCACTTATTAGATTAAGATTTGAACCATTGTATCTTAGAAATGATTAAAGATATCTTACTGGAATTCTCTGAGGTTTTTACAACATTATTCGACTCTACTCTGAGCAATAAGAATGTATAATTACTCTCCAAGCTTAACAGAAGAATCATGATGAAATTGATCAAAAACAAAAATGACATGTTCATCATTAATTAACCATAGCTAAGGATTGGAAGCTCATGATGGATTGAAATTAAGTTCAAATATATATATATATATATATATATATATATATATAATGTGTGTGTGTTATTCTAGGATCATTTTCCAACTTATTGAAGATGATCTTCGCCTTCTCTAACATAACTTTCTCACCTGGAATAACAAGGTGCCTCACAGATTTCATGTACGATTTCATTTTCAAATCCTTTTTCATTGTTCTTTGGACTGTCATAGCTGAAACACTTCTCTCATATGCCAAACGTCTTATAGATTGAGTTGGATCTTTTCTAATTGATCTCTTTAGCTCTAAGTTGAAATGACGATCCCTCTTCCTGTTGTGACCTGATCCAGTTTTCCACTCTACTGTTCTCTCTTTTTTAAATTTATTCACCATTCTCTTGATGGTTCTTGAATGGACTTTGAAGATGGGAAGCTAGAGTATGAATATTGCTACCATTACTGAAGACCTGAATGATCTTTTTCCTCTCACCATTGCTTATTTGGGAAGACAGTGGGGCGGACACAAAACGATTTTCTAGCTGAATAACTCAAAGGGTTTTTCAATGATTCTTATGACAAATGCTGTCAAGATGGCTAAATATGTTATCTGAAGTCTGGAAAAAAGAAACCCAATTAGTTTAGTGGTTTTTTAGATATTAAACATTTTGTGTGATGGACAATTATGATGTAACACGATTTCAACAATTTTGCTGTTACACCCAGTACATGTAAACCTTAAATCTAAAGTTACAAGAAAAAGACAATTTTTCTTTTCCTTTTAATGTTGTTTCCATCTCATTACAACTGTCTTTTGCTTACTGATTTCATTAGTATTACAGCACCAAGATTGACTATTCATAGTAAGCTTAGCTTAGTACAAGACCTTCAATTATGAGGCACCTACAATGGTAATGATATATGAAACTAGCTTGTTAGTTATTACAGCAAGGGTTAGTGTTTAATGTTGTCTTCAACACAAAAACTGCCATTATAAAAATTGTTTTAGATATCTATAAAATTAATCCATGTGACAGAAATTTCCACTGTTTGCACTTTAATAAGATTTTGATGATAAATTTCTGTCATCTGTAGTTAAATGAAAAAAATTTTTGTAAAATTAAAATTTTTTTATAAAGGATTAAAATTACTGTCAATTAAAAAAATAACCAACTTTTAATTACGTAACTTAAACTCAATTTAGTTTGATAGAATCAATTTCCATGATTATTTTGGTAGGGTGCATTTCAGTGTTTCATTACAAAGAAAGTAGATTTCTTTGTAACAGTCATTTATTAATTATTTTTTGATTTCCAATCGAAAAGATTTCTAATTTTTTAACTGACTGAGTAAATATTCCTAAATGAATTTTTACAGTGATTTTATTTCAAGTTTAGAAGATCTTAGCACTAATTTAAAATAAAACTATTTTCATTTTGTTTTAAACCTAAATAACTCCCAATGTTTTATAAATGATTTCCTGCTTTCTTCATTTGTGGCTATTTTGTAATTTGTATTGCTGTCAATGTCCATAGTTTGTGCAATTTTCTAATTATTAAAATCTTTGATATTCTTTTCCACCAATTGTCTTTGATTTTCTGTTTTGTAAAACATAATATTTATATATATATATATATATATATATATATATATATATATATATATAATATATATAAAAAGTTTCAAATTAAAAAATAATAATGTTTTATTTTATAAAGTATTTATTTATTTATATATATATTTGATATTTCAAATTGTCCTCAATTTTTTTTCAGAAATAACTGTTTGTTACAAAATAAATTAAAATTACTGTTTGTTAGCAAGTAAGCGTCCTTGAGACATGGACGTCACGTGATATGGGACGTCACTGTTCGATATTTCTAACTTAAATCTGTCATAAATATTTTAAATGTTGTTTAAAAAAATTTTTACTATATCTAAAAAAAATTGCTTAACTATTGAAATATTTATAAAGATTTAAAACACCTAAGTCCCTATTCAACCCTAGTTTATGTGTATTTAATGACAGTTAGATTTAAGTTAGAAATATCCGAACAGTGACGTTCCATATCACGTGACGTCCGCGGGTCTCTCAAGGACGCTATTTGCTAACAAACAGTAATTTTAATTTATTTGTAATAAAATAGTTATTTCTGATGAAAAATTGAGGACAATTTGAAATATCAAATATATATATAAAAATAAATATTTTAAAAAAAAAAACATTATTTTTTTTAATTTGAAACTTTTTCTATATATATACATATATATATATATATATATTTTCTTTTAAATATCGACTTTTCCTTCCACTACTTAATTTATGTTAGTATAAGGTCTCAAGGTAACCATTTTATTATTTTCTTAATTTGTTTTTTAGCTTTAGAGTTGGCCAACAAGAAATATAATTAATATAAAAATATCAACAAAAATGTCTGGCCATCATTTTTTGCCTACACAGGATTCTGTGGTTAATTTTGAAGAAAATTGGTCTTTAAAAAATAAGTTATTGGACCTACAACTTATAAAATTATATATATAATATATAAAAATATAAGGCTTACAAAAATGTTAATTCATTTTAGTTAGTAAATGGCATTAGCAGTGTTTCGTTCTAACTCTACTATCACTTTTGATTTTATTGTGACAGCTGTTATGTTTATTTTTGGAATGGTGGGCATTATTCAGTTCAAGCTAGAGACCTATAATACCAGATTTTTTTATAAACCTATAAATGATATCATTTTTTTATTTTTATAATTAAAGCCAAATTTTATGGTGGGCATTCACTGGTTAATAATTCATTAATCCAAGATATTTAAAAAAAATGTTAATTTTTATGATTCGTTTAAAATATTTCAAATTAAAAAAAATAAAATAATTTAGCATGTTTAGATAAACTATTAAAAATACTCATTCTTATTGCTGTCAATGTCAATAGTTTATGTAATTTTTCAATTATTAAAATCTTTGTTCTTTTCCACTGATTGTATCATTAAAGTCTTTGCATTTATCTTTTGCAAACATGAGATTTTTTTTTTTTTTAATTACTGACTTTTCTTTTCACTACTTAATTTATATTAGATTTTTTATTTTAATTTTTGTAATTAATGTCAGGTTTTATGGTGGGCGTTAACATGCCAAAAAATAATTTAGCATGTTGAGATAAACTATTAAAAAACTTTTTATATCTACATGAGATGATGTAGAAAAGTTCCAAATAACCAAACATCCCTTTTTTTCTTTTTTTTTCTCTTGAAATTTTTCTGAACATTTCAGCACCTCTCCCCTGTATTTATCAGTTCGATGCCCTTGTTAAAAATATTTTGATGCCCTTATTAAATATATAATAACTTAGCATATGTAAATACACTTTCTGAAATAGTTATTTGATATCTCTATAACACTATCATTCAGATTCTCTCCACTAAAAATATCTATTTGCACTTTTTGTTTGCTTTCTTGCTTTTGGGAGTTATTTGGGGATTTTAATTTGTTATTTTGTTAATGAGAGTAAGGCTAAAAATAGTAATCAAAACCTTATTTTCTTCATTTTTAGCCTTCCGGGCAAATGATGAGGCCAGTAAAAATTACTGTTTAAACATTTTCTTACACTGCATTCAATTTATTAAAAAGAAAACAAAAAAAAATTCAGTATTTTTTATTTTTTAGTTGTTGTGAATTAGATACTATTTATATATATATAATATATATATAATATATATATAATATATATATATATATATATAATATAATATATATATATATATATATATATATATATATATAATATATAATATATAAAAATAATATATATATATATATATATATATATATATATATATAATATATAATATATATATATATAATATATATATATATATATATATATATATATATATATATCGTCTGCTTTTAACCAAACAAAAAGCTAGTAGTTTAATCAGCATATTCCAAAACTTTATGCCATCTCTGTCAATATCACTAGGCTCAACCGATTGCTCCAGAGTTAGTGGCCAAGATGCTTGGTAATCGTGTGGCTGTCAGTCCTATAGTTACTGTGGAACCACGTCGACGTAAATTCCACAAGCCAATTACTTTAACCATACCAGTTCCGAGGGCTGCCCAAAAGGGAATGATTAATCAGTATGGTGGAGATGCACCTACACTGCGGCTGTTATGCAGTATTTCTGGTAAGCGTAAGTTGAGTTTTGCTTGCTTCTCTGAACTTTCCTGCATGAACTAACTAACTAACATTTTCTTCCCAGCGCTCTAATGTTTCAGCAAATATCTCCCACACTTTTTAAAATATCAGACTTGTCAGTGGCAAATGTATAACTTTATTTCAAAAGTATATAAAAGGTTCATATTAATATCATTATGGTGATGGGTAGGAAAATAAGCAGTTTTGACTCAAAGAAAAAAATTACAGAACTTACTTTTAAAAAAAGTAAATAATTTAATCATTAAAAAAAATTTGCTTTTTCAAAAAAAAAAATGATAATCTTTTTTTTTTCTTTTTTTTTTTTAACTGCAAAATTTTTTTTTTTTTCAAAAACACAAATACAAACTGATTGCTTTTTCAAAATGATGATTAGAAAACATGCTTTTTTTTTTTTTTTAAAAAAAAAAAAAAAACTGCTAGGAAAACTGCTTTTTTATTTTTAAATAAGCAACTTAAAAATGAAACAATATTTAACCTACTTTTGGAATACTTCTGTGATACGCTGAAAGAAGGTGAATTCACTCTTATAAGAATTTAAAATACTTAAGATCAGTAAATTAGACATTAAATTCTCAACAGGGAACACTAAATGATGGACCTGAATGTTTGAAAGACATTTAATTTTTTTAAAAAATTGCAAAGATTAAAAAATAGATATTCTGTGAATGACTAGTCTTTACTGATTTGTCAATTGGTTTTTTCCTCAAAGTTGACAAGATTTTTCCTTAAATCAATTTCAAATTTTTTGATTCAATACCTTCCATGATGAATTTAGAAAACAAATGGTCCAAAACCACTCCAAACCTACTAAAACAATTATTTGACAAAAAAAAATCTGTAAAAATTTAATGTTTATTGAAAATATATCTTCTGCTAAAAACAAAAATTTACAAGGCAGATAAGACCATTTCTGTCTCCATTTTATATGTAAGTTTAGTATTGACTATTTTTCTAGAATAAATAATACCATTTTACAGTATTTGGTGTTTAAAACTAGTTATCAAATGCTCACAAGCTGATTTTATGTACATTAATAATAAATCCTTATAAAAATCTAGGTAGTGAAATTATTATTTAAGAGGGTTTGTCCAAGGAGTGACATCTCAGTCTCTGGAGGACTGGCCATTGATAACTCCCTTCAGAGACCTACCTGTTAGGATTTTATGATCGAGAAGACCCTTCCAGTGATTCCATAACTGGTGATCTTGTGTAGTAAGCCATTGTACCACACCTTGTCAAAGACCTTTGAGACATCTAGTGCTATGGTTCTCAAGGTGTATTTTTCATCAAGAGCATCACTGATTCTGAGAGTGGTGGTAGTTAGGACGTCGGCAGTGGATCAGTCTGACCGAAATCCATACTACTTGTTGCTAAAGAGTTCTTTCTAGGTGCTCAATGGCCCTCTTATTGATTATGGCCCCAAAAAGCTTGCTGATGATACTGAGGAAACTAATGGGTTTATATTGGGAGGAGGAGGAGGATCACATGCCCGTGTTCTTGAAAACTGGACATATGCTCGACACTTTCCACAGGCTTGGGAAGGATTTCTCCTTCAAGCAATAGTTGAATAATTTCCCTAGGATTGGAGATAATTCTGGGTTGATGTTCTTAAGTCAACCATTGGAATTTTGTCTGGACCAGTGGCTTTCTTAGGGTTAAGTCCTTTGATAAGTCTAGAGACTTCTCATGCTGTGATTATGCTCAGTGAGACATGATAACTTTGGTTGGAGATGGTCTTTGTCATCTAACAATGAGTTATTGGCAAAGGGGCACCTCGACATGGTGTAATGGTTAGCAAGCTTGCCTCGCTAGAACTGTTACAACTGAGTAGTGAGTTCGTTCCTCACTGGGTGCCCCATGCTTTCGGCCTCGTGCCACATATAAGCTTTGCTTGGAAAATCATATGAGTTAGAGGCAAAGAGGTTCGCCTTATCTGTTGAGAAGGTATAACTGCAGGATCATTTATAATTGTGGGCATTGCTGCTTTACCTCTGTTCATGATTTGGTTGGTAATCTTCCAGAGTTCATGGCATCCAATTTGTTTCTTTTTAACCTTGGTCTGGACTGCTTGTGCATATCTGCACTTGGCGTTTTGTAGAATATTTTTGCAGCGATTGTGGGCAATTCTGAATGCAGTGAGGGTCAAACTACTTCGCTCCTTGCGATAGATGAAGTAGTGGTTTCAGTGAGTTGTAGCTGCAGTCCATTCAGGGGTGAACCAGGGTTGACTGTTTGGCTTTTGCTGGAATTATTTGGTGATGGTGGGGGGTTTATAAAACTCTCCATACCAGAAAGGATCCAATCCGTGACAAGGGCAGCAGTTTTTGAGACAACATACTTGAAGGAGTGTGGGAGGGGAGCTTCTATCATGTAGGATCAAAAGCTGCCCCTGTCTGTCTTTGCATAGTGAAAAATCATTCTATAAATGCAGACTGAGTCAGTTCTAGTTGAATGTTTATGTTGAACTAAGTTTTATAAGTCAGAGAGGCATAAAAATGCAACAAACCAATGAAATAGTTTAATGTGAGATTCCAGGGGAAATGGTTTTTAACTCTGAAGACTTTTTTAAAAAACATACTAACAATAGATAAAACACAGGAGAAAAGTAAATGCAGATGGTGAGAAAATGGCAATAAGACAATTAATCATGTAATTAGTGAATGTAGCGTAAGGATAACTGGGTAGGAAGGGTGATACACTAGGAACTATGCAAATGATAGATTTGACCATATAAACAAATGGTGTATATACATAAACCAGCAATTTTTTTTAGAATGAAAAACACAAAATCTTCCGGAACTTTGAAGTTCAAATGAATCAACCAATCCAGAAAACCAGATCATATTACCATAAACAAGAAGAATAGATTTCACTGTTCCACTAGTGCACAGTGTAAAATTGAAAGGGAGTAAAAGCAGGACAAGTATCTGAATCACTCCAGAGAACTGAATAAATTATAGAACATAATCAGTTGTGCCAATCACTGTTGGAGCACTGGGAATTATCCTAAAAGCCTAAGGCAAAAAGGCTGCACAAACTGGAAATCTGGGGGTACAGAGAATGAAAGTCATCAAGAAATTGGCTCTAATGAAAAACAACTAGATTATTAGCCATTAAATGACCCAACAAATGTTGATGTGCCTTTAAACCCAACCATCGAATCAAATCAAAACAAAAACAGCTAGAATACTGCAATGAGTGCTGAAATATTGCCGAGACTTGTTGTCACTTGATCTCAATATAAACTATCAATTGATGCTGATTTGAAAATCCAGTAAGTGAACAATAATACTGCAAATGCATGAAAAAAGTAATAAATAAAATTAAGTAAATGAAATAAACAGATGAAATTAAAAAAAATGAATGAAAATGTTAAAGTATCTGACATAATGTAGTTATTTTTATACACTAAAAGAATTCTCTAGAAGACAAAATATTAAACAAAATCTTTCCAATTAATTTATTATGCCACCATAAGCATCCTTGTTCAATACAATGAAAAATACCTATTCAGCAATTAAAAAAAATTATTTTACATCTAAAATATTTAATAAATATTCTAAAATAATATTTAATATATATTTAAATACTAAGCATCATTTTAGAAAAATTCAAATACACAAAACTGTTTTCAAAAAACATAAAATACCCAACAATCTTTCAAAAACTATTCACACAAAACCTCTTAAAAAGAAAAACTACCTCCAAATCTACCCTTCAAAAAAAAAATTTAATTTACTTTTAAAAAAAACCATTTATGTCTTAAAAAAAATATTTTTAAAATTCAGTATATCTAATTTTTGTTTTCATATTCTTTTGACAATTTCCCAATTAAAAGGAAACAAATCGTTTTGAAATATGGTTGTTGTTGTTGCTTCTGACAAATTTTCTCCCAGAAGATATTTTCTGAAACATTTCCACTGTATCTTCGTCTGAGAAAGCTACATGACTCGTTGCGGTGCATGTCAGCATTGTTGAACTTGGCTCAATTGAAACCCCCTCTAAAGTAATGCTTTGCTTAACAAGAAATCAGCAGCTCTATCCCCATCAGGCTGAATAATCAGGTGAGAAAACAGGTAGGATGGTGTGTTCAGATTTTGTTCATCAAAACTTTTTTGTAGACAATAGTTTTCTTTTAGCACTGAATGACTTGCTTATGCAGTTTATTCTTTTAGATTATTCTGTCTTTTTGATATCTGTGCCTCTCAACCTATCTTGTAAAATCAGTGGCATGAAGTTTATATTTCAAATGTCGGTATTCATCCTTCTTTATTCAAATTTGAAGTCTCTTTTTAATCAATGATTAGATAATGAAAAATATTGAATAAAAAATGTACAAGTTTTATTACTTTAATTCTGTTTTATATTTTGACCCTGAAAAGATGTTAGCTTTCTTTTCAGAGCATGTTTTTTAGCATTATTATTATTATTATTAATTTTGACTTGTATTGAAGAGTTGATTGTTTTTTTTATCACAATTTTACTCAGATGAAAGTTAATTTTTTTTCCTCATTATTAATTTTGACTAGTAAATACTAATCAAAATTAATTATAAAAAATGATTCCTCTAAATAATAAAATATAATAAAAATTAATAATAGTTGACAATGCATGTTTTATCATTATTATTATTAATATTAATAATTATTGCCATGGGCAGTGACATTGACAATGTATTTATTTTTTTTTCATTATTATTTTTTGATAAATATCTTTCTTAAATTTTTAATTACTATTTAGTTACTTTAGTTTAGTTACTATTTAGTTACTCATTCATCTGAGTAAAACTGTGATAAAAATCAGTTTTACTCAGAACATTAGGCACATGGGTAAGGAGTTAAAAAAGTTAACTTTCCAACAATGAGACTCTAAATCAAATCTGATCAGGGTTGATTTATCAAGGTGACTTCTTCATAATATCAGACTGAAGTGACAATCTCAATGTGTGACACCATATTGGGAAATACC